ACTTACCCTTGTTAGTTCTTCTTATTTTATTGCTGCTGTTGGTGTTTTTGCTATTTTGTTTGCGGCTTGCTTAAATGAAACACATATCAACGTTCAAACAAGAAGATAACTTAACTACAACAACAAGAACCTTACGCTAAATTTGCCTGCCAAGTATTTTATATGGATAAACTTCTAAGCCCGATTAACCTTTAAACAGCTTCTGCTAACATAGCATTCTTAACTTTCAGTATTCTGTGTGCTATAGCGGACAATGGGGCGTCGGGGGCCTCATTATTTCTTTCACCTTATAAAGTTTTATGTCGCATTTTGATTGACGTGTTATGGTCACACATAACATCTATTTCTAGCGGCAGTAAAAATAGATAAATGGAGGCCAAGATTCAGTGACAGATTTGTAGATAGAAAAATGAAGGGGACAAAATATTTCTGATCATAAAAAAAGTACATCAATTATTGATATTAAAATTGAAGAATAAGGATAGTTAAGGAGCTAGAGATACATAAAGAGAAACTTATAAAAATATATATAGCTCGATTTAGTTTAGGACTAGAAACAACTTTTTACATACAAAATATCGGACCCGTTAAGCTACATTAAATTTATGAAAAAGGCATAGAAAGGCGGCAAGTATTGATGAGACATAGCATAGAATGTAGAAGAACGGAAAATATATCACATTCTCTTCTTATTTAATATAAAATACAACTTAAAGCATGAGTTTAAAGTAAAATGAAATGTTACACAGCGTTAAGTTCATAACATTAATTTTGTTTCTAAAAATACGCTCATAGTTTTTATTTTACATTTTATAAAAAGAAATAAAAACGTTGCCAGAGGTCGGCAAGTTTCTATGGCTAGCGTGGCGTTTGTAAAATACATGTGCAAATCGTATTTGAATGCGGCATGAAAATGTTTGCCACACAATAAAATTGCAGCATAGTTTTTCTACACAGCAGGGGTTAGACCTATTTTCACCTTGACGCTGCCAAACAAAAGGCGAGCAGGCAGCCGCCAAATGAACACACATTCACACAATCCGACGGCTGTTTGCTATTCTGTATTTTGCAAAAGGTGTGCAAACTCACGCCATCCGTTTGCCATTTAAAGGCAACACGCTTTGGTTTTCTATTTTATTTCATTTCAGCATTTGAAAATATAAGGCAGAGAGTCTAAAAAAAGTCTACAAAGTGTGAAAAAAGTTTAAGGGTAGTTTAAATATTCAAAAATTCATGTTTTCTACTCTAACTAAATGTCATTTAGATGATTTAGAATGTAAATCGATAAGTTGTGATAAGTTAGGATCTGACGGCATTGCCACGTTATTCGTTTTCTGTAATTTTAGTGTTTATCAATACTGAAACAAAATAAATCTGGCACTTTTTATAGAATGAATGCATTTCAGCTCATATAAAAAAATTAGTCGTATGCTTAATTATTTACAGCCTATGACGGCTTTATATTACGTTTATATTAATTTGTTTCATGCGTTATTTAATATTCATCCAACTATTTACATATTTAAGCGAGTGCCCAATGTGTATTTTTCCTCAGTAGTTGCATCTTAAATTGAAAATGTAATTTCCATTATTTTCTTTTCAATTAAATGTAGTACAAAATGAAAGCCACGCCACCCGGGGGCAGACTGTTTAACACGCCGCAGGCGACGCAAGTTGCAAAGGCCGCCCACGTTATAATTCGCTTGCATACTTTACAGCTGCGGCCAGTGTTGAGAAATGCATTTGTTGTTGAGAGTGAGTCGTTTGGCATAATTATTCGATTTGTGTTTTAATACGCTGCGAGTGTCGCAGCTCGCTTCCGTAATTCATTTACTCTTACATATGAGCCCAAAAAAATACAAGTCCAACAAGCTGCAGAAACTACGCATGACTGTTTAGTGAATATACATTCGCATTATTTATTCATGACAGAGCATATGCAATTTTGAATAGCATTTTCAGTGGCATGCCGCACTTGATTTTGCATTCAGTGCTTGATATCCATCCCTTTGGGGAGAAAAGCTGCTCTTAAACAATGGACTCGCCAGCCATACGAAGCGAACCTTTCAGCCAGACAGCCAGCCAACCAACCATCCATTCATCTGGCTGCCTGGTGTCAGGCCATTTGATATTTGCGCTCGTCGAGCACTGAGGGAAATCTGAAATCTCACCGTAGGATTTGTTTCAGGCCACAGCAGATTGCCTTAACATAAAATATGTACATGTGTGTGTGAGTGTGTGTGCATGTGTTGTGAAAATGAGCAAATTTTATGCGTGGCTGAGTTAAGTTGGCAACTATTGCAAGGGTTCGAACCAAAGGTTGTGCTTAATGTGGCTTAAAAGGCTTACAAGTCAGCTTTAATTAACAACTTGATGTACGCTGATAGCACAAAATTATACATGACGATGATATTTATTATGAAATACTGTTGTCAGTTTCATGAAGCCTACCATCTTGGAAAAGGGTAACTTTTTATTGTAACTTACTCAACTGCTGCAGAACTTATTTTTATTTTAGTTTCATAGTTGATAGGGCAAATTTGTATTGTAATTTCTATAGTAAGCTGCTGCAGAATTATCGATAGATCGATGTAATAATCGTTCAGTTAAGTTTCATGGTCAAAATGTGAAACTTTTTACTTGTAATTTAATCAAATGCTGCAAAACATAGATCGATCGATTCAAGTTTATTTCAGTTAAATTTCAAAGCCAAAAGCTGCACGACTATCGACAGATAGATTTAATTTTTGTTGATTAGGAGTCATAATAAAAGGACAACATTTTTTTTTTAATTTCCATACTTAACTCCTGCAGATTTATAGTTAGATCGCTTTAATTTTATTGCAGTAAAAATACTAAAAATATTAATTGATTATAATTTAACTATTAACTGATAGTTTAGTTATTACACTGTCTATCGAAATGTGTGTGAGCTATCGATTATTTTGCTGCACTTAAATCTGTGTGAATTTTTAATAATTGAATTTATAAGTTTTAACAGTTCTTTTTGCTTTTCCTGCATTTCCACACATAAATCATTGTGGCGGTAAAACCCAATTATGTATGATAATTATTGTTTCATAATGTGGGCTGCAAAATTTCGCTACGTGAGCTTTCCGTTCCCGTAACAACTTTTTTAATTATTACTTCGTCTGGTTTTGCGGGAAATTTACTCCATGGATAAGTGGTAAATAAAGAAATCATGAAATAAAAGGCGAAACAAATTAAAATGCGTGTCCAATGACTGGAAAAAAAAAAACACAATAAATAAGAGAATATTGCTGGCTCTCATTGCAAATTAATTTGTCTTAAGCAAAAGCTTATAGTTTCATTGTATTTATATGTTTTCTTTTTTGCGGCATAAATAATAAAAACTTCCTCAATTAAATGAACATGTGTCTTAAATTCTTGCGTGTGCTTTACATTAAATCTGAGCACGAAAAACCATCGAAAAAACCTACAAAAATTCAACAACGAAAGTTTTCTTGTGCTTGTGCGGCAAGCGCAACGCGGCAGCCTTTGACAGGTTGCAACAAACATGTGGACAGAATCGAAGACAAACTTTAACCCGACTGCATATACGCTTATTCACTTTGAGCCTCTGCTTCCCCCCTTCCCACAGCATGCATTTCTATAAAATGCAAGAATTGCATAAAATTTCAATAAACTGGCAACGACAACACATTGTATGAGACAGAGAGAGAGAGAGAGAGAGAGAGAGAAGAACTAGAGGGATTGGCTGGGGCTTACTGTTTGGCGGGACTTTAACAGACTGCCAAGTCAGTGAAAATGTAAAACTTATTGCTAGCTGAATTTTCATCTTGACAGGCATTTTTACAAATTTCCTCATTTGCTGCCAACAACAAGTCTTCAAGATTTGATTGTAAATAAAAGCATCTCCCGATTTTCTGCTGAATTTAAACTCCACATTTACACAAGTGTTTACATGCGCTCATAGTGGATTTCGCATCTATTTATTTAATATTCCTTTGATATAATATGATATATTTAGCCACTATCCCCTTTTAATTTGCTCTTTAATTTTCTGAAAGCTTCTTATCCCTTAAATTGCAATCTATCATCAAAAAAATAGTATCACAAAATGGCCTTTAATTTTGAGGTGCAGTTTTCATTTCACATCCTTTCAACCTCGCCGTCTTTTGGCGTGTTGGCAAAGTAAACAGAAATATTTTCGACCACACGTCTTAAGGTACGCCACGTATTTCTCCGAGTGCAAACACAGCAAACATTTATAACACCGCCACGGTCTTAGATAAATGACTGTGTTAAGCGTCGTAAGTGTTGTTTCTCGTTTGTCAGTGCTTGCTTTCCATTTATACCCTGTACCCATTGAAAAAGTGTCAAAAAGGGGTATATACCATCATTGGCCAAAACATTGCCATGCAGAGACATGCATTTACTCTATCCACATCAAATAATAAATATCTTATAGATGATAGGCATTTGAGTACAACATTTCAAGCCTTAAGTGAGCAGCTTTTGGGGTACAGGGTATCTGCTTGTCTTGTCTAGCACACGCATTTTCTTTCGTTTGTTTTTTCTCTTCATTTATCTCTATAACATCTTTTTTAAGCCCAACTAACTTTGCTCGCCCCGCTGCATTTAATCTGTCCTTGCATTCTAATTTAAAACTTTATCAATTTGTTAAATTTTTGAAAGAAATATGCGATTGCAAGAACTTACATAAAACAATTTATACACCTTTCTTTTACGCCCCGTTGACGTAGCCAGATTAAGCTAACCTAAAGGCAATATTTGATCCTGTCTTACAAGATTCTCATTATTTCAAGCCCAACTCGTCTATGCTTCTAACCTTCCTTCGGCTATTAAGTTATTTAAGAGTTAAGCTAATTAAGACCCATTGTTTTTGTATTTTGGGCAAATGTCTAACAACATAAATATATTCTTAGAAAAGTATGCACATTTTTTGTTGTTGTTTCGATTGTGAAAATCGTAGCACGTCTTGCTTTACGGCTCAGTTTTGAAATGATTGTTATTCAGTTCTCATACATTTGGTGAACGTTACAGATATTACAAACATATTCCAAAATGTCGAAGGCAAAGGTTTGTAAAAATAAAATAAATACGTAAAATATTTAACTAATAGTTCCTTTTCCTATGGCAAACAGCCCGCTGCAACGGTGAGTTCTAGTCTATGTATTTAGATATAATTATAATATTATTATGATCTTTTTGTTCTGTTCATCTTGTAATACTTATACGGTATCTAGTCGGGTAAGCCGCAGCCCAAAATCAAGTTTCCCATTCACGATACTCATTTGAAAAAGTCACTGTCACATGTAAAGACTGCTTGCATTTTGGCATTGTTGGCCCCACTTTGTTACTATATGTTGCATAATATGCCGCGAAAAATGAAATATAAGAATTTTTATTCGAGCTATGATCCGTTGGATGCCTTTGATCGCATGCAAAGCGGTGGTTATTTGACCTCATGCCCCAAAGAGTCTAAATCGGATAAAAAGGATGACAAGAAGGATGACAAGAAGAAGAAATAAGTGTCGATTTCTTAACTATGTGAGGAACAACTGAAACAATTCAAACGGGGCGCAAAATATGGAACTCAACAAATTTACACAATGCATCAATGGAAAGGAAATCCACAACGCAAATGAATTCTAAGAAATTGTAAACTCAACAAAACTATGAATACAATTTTTCATGCACACCCAAACATACACACACACTGCACACGCACACAGATCTTATAAATGGAGCATTGCAAAAGCTTGACGCCGTGTTTTAAGTTATGTGTAGCACATCCTTTGCTGCCCCGTAAATCGCACCGGACAGCTGCCGCTCACAGCCGTGTGTACTGTCTGCTATTGATGGCCAATAAATACTAAGGCCAACGTCTGAATGGGCAGATGTTAAGGGTTTTTTTCTTGTTTCGAATACTTGCAACCGCCTTGCAAGTGGCAAGTCCTGTCGTCGTCCTGCTGTCGCCCTGCTGCCTCGTCAGGCATCTGACACTTGTCCTTTGACTGTTTGCTATGTTGACCGGCTGGTTGCTCTGCCTGCTTGTGCGGAAAAATGATAACATTCTTATGCATTTAAAAAGTGTGTAAATACTGCAAAACTTATCTACGCATGTGGTGAATGCATAAAACTGCATTTATATACGTTATCTCGTCCTTTACATAAACACAATAATTTAAAGCTCAAGTTTTGTGTAAGACTTTAATACCAATGCAAAAAGTAAATATTTTGAGAAATAGTTTCTTGTCATCTACGATTCTGGTCAACAATTCTATAAATGTTCCGTTGAGAATTTTTCTGTTGCAAACGCTTTTATATGCTTTTCATCTTTTGAGTTTTGTTCCAGGAAACAAATACAATTGGCCCGCATTTTATGGCTTTCGGGAGTCCGAAAACTACGCACATTTCCATTCAGACATTTCTTGGAAGCCTTTATGCCAGCTCTTTTGATTGGCATTTTCTAGCCCAACTTAATGCTTCGGTAACATTTTTGCACATTCGTATCGAATACCCAAGTCTCTTAATAAAGAATTGGTGTGAAAGGTATTATAAAATTGTGAATAATTTTGCTGCAGTAAATGACAGATATATATGTGATCATAATCATATTTACTTGTGTAACTTTAGTTTTATATAGTTCTTATCGAGTTGGATATATATATAGTAAATTTTTATGTATGTATGTTTATATATGTAAGAACTGAAGAAACCGAAGACAGTTTCAATTCGTACGTATTTGCATAATCCAATGTATTATAACTTCTACAAAAGCTATTTACTACTTTAGAACTGATTAAATCAGCATTTCTCTATTTGCTGGCATTTCATTCCAATTTTGGAATACTTATAGAGCATCTACTAAACTCTAACTTTCGCTTTCCATAATTTTTCCTTTCAGCATTTGTCTGGCACGCTTCACTTAAGAAATGTCTCAACTATTTCCCAATTTTAGGCTCTGCCCCTTTTCAATCCGGGGTTTGTTATTAAATTTCCGTTAAGCCCGAAGCCCATTTGTTCCGCTCGTTACCTCTGGCTTAGAATTTTCATCTCGCAATTAGATTACCAGTTAAATGCTTGACTTTTTTGGCACTGCTGACCATTCAACTTTGACCGGACTAACAGATTTTTAAAACCAAATTTCATGCGTTCCTTTACTTTTGGCCAACTCTTGGCTGTTAGTCGTGCGTTGAACCTAGATCAAATCGAGTAGAGAAGGGCGGAAGGCAAGCTCAATATGTTGCATGGCACATGGCATTGAAGGCGATTAGAGGCACGGCAACGCCTGATATAAAAGCTCTGACAAATCGCATTGAATACTTGGGGGCGTTTTCTTAGCTCTCATTCCGCCAGCTACTTGGACAAACAACTTTTTCGCCTAGCCTAGCCAAACAAATCGAATCAAATTTAAGTGGAATTTTGAACTTTTAAGGGTTTCTAGATACGCAAATCTTTGAATTTATGCCAGCTTGGGTTAATATTTGAATAGTTATCTCATAAAGATGGCGTTTGCACAGAACTTTACGATATTCCATTTACGATAACGCCTGCCAAGCCCAGTTGTACATTGTGTCCAGAGAAAGTGCGCTGTACGGCATAAAGATAATAAACAGCATATAAAACAATTAGATATAACACAAAATGTATAATAAAATATGATTTATTGAATTTTCGTCTGTCAGATTGCTCGTCTGCTTTGTCTCAGACATCAAATTTTGCTTGTAGCTTATGTTTTTGTATGTGGCTCAAATTTATAGCATTGTTGGCTATTAAAAATTAGATGACCGATTTTATGTCTTATGAGTAATAATATATGAGTAATAAATATAGGATTAATCCGACCTTAATACAAATTTAGTATAAATTACTGGTTTTGGCGTTCTTTCCATTTTAAAAATATCGCATTATCGGACTGCGAGCCAGCTAATTAAATAAAATAAATATACCATAAATATAATAATATATTAATTAAAGAAAAATAACTGAAAATAAATAATAAATTCATAATTGTAGTTCAATCAGGATATTTAAAAAAAAAATTAATAAATGTGTTTGATACATAAAACAAATTTGTGTATGATATAGTTAAATCAAGATAGAAATCGAGAGTCTCATGAATACAATCACAAAATGCCTTTCTTATTAGTTCTGGTTGTTAAGGCCACAAACTTGCTTCTATTTCCGTCGATTTACTTGCCATGACTATGTTTCATTAATGATTTTTCACCTATTTGCTGCAGGCAGCACATTTAATAAATATAAATGAGCATTGCTTGCTTTTCGGCTGCCACTGTGTAAATATGCAATGCACACACTTCTATTTGGTGTCGCTGAACTCTACCGAAGACAGCTTTGGCTACACACGAAGGCAGCACTTGAAACCGTCAGTATTATCTATTTTTTAAGTGCACAAGTGTTGGGCAGTCGACCACGCCCCCATCTTAAAACTGATTTGTTAATTGTGAGTTATTGATACGCCACGTGCCTGCGTGGGCGGTTAGAACTTCTGACACGCCCACCTGCCTGAGACACCATTCAGCCGTAATTATAAATTTCCAACAGCTATAAAGTTTTGTATGCGCGTGGGCATTTTCTTAAATTTTAATTGAATTTTAAATTGCTTGGCCAGGCTATTTACATGCAGCTGGGCGGCATATTTAATTTTTGAGTAGATGCCTATGAATTGAAATGTTGGCTCAACATTTTTTTGGTAGACAAGCTGCCGCCTAATTTGTATTTATTATTATTATTCAATCCTTGTTCTTATATCTTTAAGTTGTCAAGTGATTAGCTTAAATATGATAATTAAATTGGCATGACTCTGTTCGAGTTGGATTGCAACTGTTGTAAATGTAACTGAAATGAATATTTAACTAACTTGTTATTTGTTTCCATCATTTCACCCTAACGCCTTTAGTTAGCATGCTGTATGTAGTATACAACCGATTTCTTATCCTGTCTGTGTCTACTCGCTGGAAATGTCACATTTGCCAAACAAGATTTGCCTATAAGAGTTAATGTCTGGTCTAATATATAATAGCATATTTTAATATTATATTGAGGTTATGTAGCTTTATATTGAGCAACAACAATTTAATTAAATCCAATGAAATCTACCCTTAAGGATCCACGTCTGAAATAACTTTTACATAGAGACAGTTTTTTAAATAGTTTTGTTTTGAACTTTACATAACTACAAATATATTTTCTAATAAATTCTATTAAATTAATTTAGGAGCTGGTTCCAAATTTAAGGTTGTTCTAAAAATAAATTTAAAATAAAATCGAAGTTTTTTTATGCTTTTAGTTTTTATATATCAACCACATTTTTAAATATGCCTGACATTTTTTTCAAGAGCATAGCTTGATAAAAAAACTCGACAAAAATAATATTTTAAAGGTCAACCAGGAACGGATTATACAATTTTGTAGAAATGCAAGTGTACAAACGAAATAAAAATAAAAAAAAGGAAAAGTTTGATGACATCGGCACGCCGAAGATTTTATACTCTTGAAAGCGTGTTCATAACATGAGAATAGTCAAGATCGTGAATGCTGAATTGATAAAAATATCTTGCAAAAACATTATGTTTCGACCGATTCTTTATATAGTGCTATATAATGTATAATGATATGCAATATAGTATAATATCATATTGATATCATGTGAAAGGAGCATACGTTAAAGATAAAGTGTCGGGTTTAGTCAAAGTTCTGACATGGGTACTGCCTGCAACAGAAAGGCAGACTTGTGCAAAGTTTGAAGTCGATAGCTTTACTAACTGAGAGACTAGTTTGCAAGAAAAAGGACAGACGAATAGACGGACAGATGGATAGACAGACATAATTCAGTCATGGCAATATTATCTCGGCTACTGATGCTGATCTGGAGTATATATACTTTATGGAGTATTGCTTGTCTCTTTCTATACGCTAGACATTTCATGACAATATTACACGTGTTGGCGCCCATGGCTTTCGTTATCTTTATTCCAATTTCCAGTCGCTAGACAGAGTGTTCTGTTTTGCTGGGCTTCTCACACAGGGGTCGAATGATACCATGAATTAATACACTCACTGCCGGATTCAGTTCTTTCAGTACTTTGACCATAAAGCTAAGAATTTAATTTTGCATGCAACGCCCACAGAAATTGTTTTTCAGAATCGCTGCCACGCTTTGAATTCCATACTGACTGCAATTTCCGTTGAGAGAATGCGTAGCCCAACATGACTCAATCTCAGCCGCCGCTAGAAATAGCTAGAAAATGGATAGCAAGCGCACTCTTAGAGGCAAAAGGCCAAAAGTTGCCATTGGCAACAGTTTCATTATTTGTTTTTCTCACCGAGACTTAAATAATCCATAAATTTGGCTAGTGACAAAGTCCGTCTGTGCACAACAAATACACGTTTAATGCGGCTCAATGAAGCTGAAATTGACAACATATTTCAGCTTGAAATTATTTATGTGTTTTTATTTGTGTAGAAATAGGGCTGCAGTACAAATTTACATATTTGCAAAATTAAAATAAATATTTGCATACGGAAATAATCAGCTTTGCCTTCGGCATATACAATTATTTATTAATTCTTTTTTGTTTTGCTCAAAAGAAGCTTAACTAAATTAACTAAAAAACAAACAACTATTTAAAAAACTTTTTGTTCAGGCACTGTTAATACTCTCGTTAATCTTATTTGAATTTATAGCCTTTAGCATATGAAAATTGCTTGTTTAATAAATTTATTATTTTTTTCAT